ATTAACACCATACACGGTTTAGGTAACTGAATGTACTGGTATAACATAAAAGAACACAAACTATGTCTATTGTCACAAGAAATCACAGCTGAAAGCGAGGCTCAGTTTACTATTCCCATTATATCAAGAGCATGTGTGTATGAATCACTCTAAACTGGTTCTGATACAAGGTCTTTGGGAACATATGAGCGTTAACTGCCCTACAGGTGTCAGCCTTCGCTTTGCAGTTGAATTAAACATTTATAGTGAATTTCTAAGAACGGTACAGCGACACATCCATCAAAAGTAGATTGTGACAGATGTTTGATAGGCATTTAGAAGTTGGTAATACAACACACTTGATATGGATAAGAAGAACCACACATATATTCATAAGAAACTAGATGAAACTGCTTCATTATACCGTCTTCCAGAGGCAGCTGGGTCTGTTTGCCGCATTTCATGTTTTTGTCAACACACTCGTAGGCTGTAAACTTGTACGATTCAAATTCCTCTCCGCAAGCCCCATTGTTTTCGTTGTCACACCTGTAACACTTTATACAAGCACCTGGAACAGAGGAAAACGTATTTTAACACTTCGCAATCGGAACGTATTTCAGTGAAATCGCGTCAATGCGGACCCCATTAGCCAAGCATTCCGCCTTCCGCATGATGACTGTTGGGAATGAAGTTGGTCAAATTTCGAACTCCAGGATCTTCTTTTGTATATGTATACACAGACGTTAATCCAGTTACAAGAGATACGTCTCTGGCGTATCAAGGATGTGGACACACATTTACTGCATATATCTGACCTTCCCGTGCATGTGTAAGTGCGCGTATAATCTCAGATCCCTTTGTAACAAAATATGATTAATGTTGTGTGTAAACCGAGACGACTAAAGCTATTATGCTCTGAAAGTAGTTGCCTCATAATACCTTCAAAGCTCCAGACTACAGGAAATACTCCATGAAAGAGGGCACATTCGTGACGTATTGTGATTGTGTATAGCATAACCTCCACACAGATAATGCACAGATTAATATCTTGCAAGCATGATTGTACTGTGGACATCACACGCAATGTCTTAATAGTAGATGACAATGCGCTTTAAACATCAAAGGACGTTATATCACATATCCGTTTTGCTTCCTATAATTATAAAATATAATAGACTAATGGGGTAGCTTAAGCTTCATTGCATTTAGATGATATCTTATGACCCTAACATACGTAAGATAAAAGGTATATGTCTCTTGGATCACGTGAAAACTGCTTACCAGCTACACACTCTGTGGATCTATGTTTGGTCTTTCGTGTTGAAGAGAAGGTTCTGAAGGTCAAAGATACTAGACAGTGAATTCCCGTATATGACCCTTGCCGGACAAGGCTGGAATTTCGTGTTTCGGACGTGGCGCCACTTTGTTCGGTAATGCGTTTGTTTTTGGCCCCCTTTTGATCACTTAGAATCCACTACATCTCATTTTGATTTCCGTCATACACGTTGTCATCGTCCAGTCAAGACGATCTGAAAAGGTTTCTGAAAAAACCGTGTCCCACTTTCTGTCTCAGACACCGATATAATGGGGATTGTGGCTCAACACTTTAGCATATTGATTTTAAAACATTAATATGTTTAAAACTATATTTGTGTACGCCCTACGACCCTTCACTTGTTCTGCAGATCTTGAAGTCACGTGAAAGCTGCATGACGATTCACAAAGAGGAGGTTGATTTCGTGTGACTAAAACATCTAGTCCAGTTGAACAAATGTGGAAAGTGAACGTACATAGTCAGTTAACTCTGTTGCCTCTGTTACATTACTGGAACAGGTGTAGTGTGTTTATGAGGTTATATTGACATTACAACGTTGATAGCAAAGGTGTATGAATTGGCCATAATTTGGATTACCGCAGCAATCATGAAAGTGAATCATGACGCCGGAGTCTTTGAGTGAACATTTTTTGGCTTCTCCTGGTACAATAGATCAGAGAAACAGAGAGTATGTATATTGTGTGCAACATAAATGATAAATATGTTTCAAGGAGAAGGTATTATAGGAAGACAGACGTAGCCAATGCTTTAGTGTGGAATCTGACGCCAGATAGATTTGGGTGAAAGCATACCAAACTGATTGGTCAGGTTTTTGACCATCTTTAGTTATGTTCATTTGTGATGAAGAAAGTGGAAGAAAAGCTTTTTTGGACAACGTTAACGTTTCTCTGATGTCTTAACATGTGTGTGACGTGGTTGTCTTTTGAAGAACATCAGGCTATTTTCGCTCCATTTTTTTATTAGAGTTACAAAAGTCAAGAACCAGAGTAAAAAGGCCTATGTAGACATATGGAAGATGTTCCAAATTTGACGCATGTCCCATACAGTTCTCTATTTTGAACCTGTTTTTTAAGTGAACAGTTGATTTGCTTTTACGTGTGTTTGTTACTCTTCCCGACAGTAGGGTAGAATACTTTCACGTGTCGGGAACACGCGGTTCCTATGAGGTGTGTTTGTATTTACTATCATGGACATGTTTGTCACTAAATATGTAAATACGTGCGGATTGCAGCTTACCAACAAAGTGTGCTTGTTGTGCGAGTTCGGTGATGGTAAACTTTGCTACTAACGCCAATATAATAGCTGTTCCGTTTCTGTTTTTTCCAGCATACAATGGAAATATTCATGACAAAGGCTTTAAACAAAATATCCACGAACGCCTGGCGTAATGAGAATTGCCTGTGTACCCCTACATACACATAGTATTAGCAGGTATTTACATATGATGGCAGGTGCTGCCGGCAGGGCAGTGCGAGGCATTCTTTCTCTTTTCTCGAACACCTGGTTTCATCATAGACGTTCAGTGATCCATTTATATAGTTTTCACATTTCTTTTGCCTTTTACGTCCAAAATGGTCTGTTTCGTCTGATAATCAAGATTTAATATTTTCGAACGTTAACGTTATATATAAATATAAATAAACCGTAAGCATCAAATGGCATAGAGTGTAAACACCCTGTATTGACACATTCGACCTTTAAAATTGATGATGCTGAGGCTGCAGGTGTTTCACTCAACTGACATTAATCTGGTCCGTTCTCAAAACAAGAGGGACACAACCAACCATTATCAGTATCAAACATGGACATGAGACATGCAATGGATGCCCTTAAAAGATGAGTTTTATAACCGACTTTCATGGCGTTTCACATCCAAATGCACGTGTGAAAGGTTCCTATGCATCCCACATTCTTGTTCAGGTATTGCGTTATGGCCTTAGGGACACTCAGCTTGCTTGCGTCGAGTCACAATGAATAGATCAGATACCAAGACTAAATGTAGTGTCGTCATATGAGCGAAATATTCTCAAGCACGACGTAAAACCCAATTTTACCTCACCTCACCTCACCTAAATGAAGTGATGGCATATATTACTTTTTGCAACCAACAAAATTCAATATGGCGGTCATCGACGGCACAATGTCATGTCAGCGACTTAGTCAATGTGCAGAGTAGTTCCTGGACACAAAGTATGGACATTGTGGAAGCTCTGGAGCTGAAAGTTCGAGCTCAGCACATTTTTTGGGAGATGAGTACTCAGATATTTGGTGAAAAACACAACCGATAACTTCAATTCTCATTCTGATTTGAAGCTAATCAATCGTATTGAAATAAATGGGCCAAATAACAGAATCCCACTTGTTATACATTAGCCACTCTGACCTAAGTTTAGGATTTCCCTGTTGTCCATGGCCTCAAGCATGACACGCCCGGTCGGCCATGACATGACGTATATGGCGAAGTCCAGATAGTCATTAGTCTGAGGCTGACAAAAACTGACTCGAAAGAGCGTAAAAATAATGAAAGTATTCCGGTGTCTATTCTAGGACGCGCGATTGCGCGATTCACGCTGATAATTATCAAATCGCCACTCATAAAAGCAGCACAGCGCAAATTGTCGCGCATAGTAATTTTATCCCTACCTACCTTTCAAAAAACCATACGTAAAAAGCTTTATATTGACAGAGAATGATTTTTAAATCAGAGTCAGCCACAGAGTCGATAGCAACAGGAATACACGACAGAGTAACCTCCCTTGGTAAAATCCACTACCGGCACTGAGGAAACGAAATCCCATTCACTTCAGTATGAAAATAGATAAAACTTTTCAATAAAATTATGATTTGATTAATTAATTGTTTGAAAACCGTAGACTAAAAACTCTAAACACATTACTTATTGTATATCGCTTTCAAGACACAGTTTTCTCGATCTTTTTAAGAAAATCAGTTCGTTTTAGTTTCATTTTCGAAATCAAATAATATTATCACTTGAAGTAGTGCAGACGACGAATGTAGACGAATTTTTGTATTTACAACGGTTTGTGGTAATTTGGCGTGAATAATGTCGCGCAAAAGAATGAAAATAACTGATTTTTTTGCACAAAGTACCATTGAGAAAGTGACAACCACGTCTTCCCAGACCGATACGTCTGTTACAGTGACGTGTGAATCGAAGGGAGAGCAAAACCCTGAGACCGACCCCGGTCCCTCCGACTCTAAAAAGATGAAACCAAGTGTTTTTCAGAAAAAATGGTTGAAAGAATGGCCATGGCTCTCTCAAAACGAGCTTGGTGCGATGTTATGTGACTATTGTAACAAAAATAGAATGAGCAATAGTTTTACTGGTGATGGCTGCAATAACTTTCGTACATCCACACTATCTAGACATGCACAAACCAGTGACCACCAGCTTTCCCTAATAGCTATGACGAACTCGCAAACGACAATAGAGGCTTCTGTGTCTAATTTAGTATCCAATGAGGAATTAGCGGTTAAGTCTGCTATTGACACAGTATATTGGCTTTGCAAGGAAAACATTGCTATTCAAAAGTATGGTTCTCTGTTAGGATTGTTGGAGAAGGAAGGCTGCACCAATGTTAAAAATCTTACTGTTGGTGGTAATGCCACATAGAGGTCACGGTCTCTTGCTGAAGACATTCAGGAAGCAATTGCGAATACAATCATGGCTCAAATAATTGGTGATTTAAAGGATGCTTATTGTGTAGCAATTCTGATAGATGAAAGCACAGACATTTCAGTGACAGGAAAGCTCATTGTTTATGTCAAATTTGTTGACAAAGACTTTAATGTGAGATCACACTTTCTGGGAAATTTTGACTTAGGTGAAAAGGGAGCAGATGCTATAACCCAGAAACTCCTTGCAATTTTCAATGATATTGGTGTTGATGTGAAACAGATTTTGTGTTTTGCATCTGATGGTGCCGGTGTTATGACTGGATCTATAAATGGTGTAGCAGCACAGCTTAGAAGATCATCCCCATTTCTTATCAACATCCATTGCGCTGCACATAGACTTGCATTATGTACAAGCCTGTCTGCTGCCAAGATTGACGTTATGCAACAGTACAAATCTACTCTCACAAGCCTGTACTATTATTTCAAGGGGTCATCGGTTAGAAGCAGCAGACTAGCTAGGCTACAGGAACTGTTCAATCAGCCTCATATCAAAGTAAGAGAAATGCATGATATAAGATGGTTCAGCTTCTACAAGGTGTTGGAAGCTATCTACAAATCCTGGAACAGCCTGGTTGTATATTTTCAATCAACTGAACTATCAAGGGATCCAAAAGCTACAGGTCTTTTGAAGTCAATCACTAACTTCAAGTTTGCTGCGCTGACCTGGAGTCTTATGGATGTAATACCAGTGATAACTGAGCTTAATTTGGTGATGCAAAAAGACAGTTTGGATGTTGCATCACTGAAGCCAGTGGTTGCCAGTACAATTGATAAACTTCAGTACCTGAAAGAAAATGATGGACATTACAGACAAGAGTTCCAGTCTCTGTTGACAGATGATAATCACCTCTATGGGCACGAACTGAAATACAAGAAACAGCAGGAGGCAGTTGTGAAGTCAACCATGACAACCTTTATTAAGACACTGATCGGAAATCTTAACACAAGATTCCCCCCTGAAAGTGTTACAGTGATTTCATCTTTTGATGTGTTGGCATTCAGGGACTTGTCATTTGTTGCTGAAACAAATCTTCAAAGTCATGGTAAGGAGAAACTAGATGTGTTGATCTCTCAATATGGCAGCCCTAAGGGTGATGTGCCCGCCCTCATCGATGCAGGGTCAGCTAAACAAGAATTTGACCTGTTAAAACGCCTCCTGATTCAGCAGAAGTATCCAAGAGACAAATTCCATGAATTATGGAGAATCATTGATGGCTGTCACAAGGACCTTTCCCCAAACCTTCTGAAGCTTGCCTGTATTGGATTAACTTTGCCAGTCCAGACAGCAATTTGTGAACGTGGTTTCTCAAGTCAAAATATTATAAAAACATCACATAGAAACAGACTGAGTGAGAAGGCACTCAAAGAGTTGATGATAATAAGTATTGAGGGCCCACCTGTTTCAACCTTTGATGCCAGCAAGGCCCTTGAGGAATTCAAAACCAAAAAGCAAAGGAGGATCTTTCAAAGATTTTCTTTCAATATGTAACAATCTGAATCAGAAGTTATGAAGTTGATTTGAGTGGACAGGATGTGGACAAATTATTTGTAAGCATTGAATAGAGTTAAGATGTGAATTTCAAGGAATCTAGTTCAATTTTTGGAAATTCATTTCAGTCATTACAGAAAAAGATAGAACTCACCTAAAAAACAAACTTCATATTGTTTGTTATTCTTTATTCACATGAGGTTATAGGTACATTATTTAGAGGGACAGCAATAGCGGTATTCCCCCCTACTGTTTCCAAATCCCCCCTCTTTTTTACATGATGGGGGGACAAATCCACCCTAGATTTTTAGTTCTAGAATAGACACTGGACTATTCATCTTCATTGTTTCCGCATCAAAGGCTTTTGTACACGCAACGACTCTCTTTTGGAACTATTCTCTTCAAGTCATAAATTTCTGTACATATATCTCTAAACATCCATTTGTTAATATTCATGTACGTGTTGTAATAATATGATGTTTTTGTTTGTAATCTTTGGTAACTACTAGATGAAATAAAGACTCTCTCTCTCTCTCTCTCTCTCTCTCTCTCTCTCTCTCTCTCTCTCTCTCTCTCTCTCTCTCTCTCTCTCTCTCTCTCTCTCTCTCTCTCTCTCTCTCTAAGACACAAGGTAAACCATCTTGGTTTAAGTGAGCATTAGTGTCAGAGCTTTTACATCACGGATACATGTGCAACAAAGCTGGGGATCTTCTAACCTTCAAGTGAAATATCAGCTCAAAAGGTCATTGTTTAACGGTGAAATTGAGGCTATGTATATTTCATGATTTGGCAAATGAATATAAGCTGTGTTATCGTACCTTGCTGGGAACGATCGGCGTTTTTTCCTGGCCATGAATCGACTATGAATAGTTGAACATCATCGAATTTCTCTTAAAAAACACAGACTAATAATAATAAGCGTGAAATATTGCTGACAAACACTGAACATTAATTCATAGAGTGAAAAGGCACCAGTGGCCATAACTGGATATGCAAAGTTGTGTTCCTTACGAGTGTACACAACCTAAAATCGTGGGTTGAATCCCGATCCGCTCTGATTCTGTTTCTAATGTTGTTAGCACCTTGTCCATGTTCGCTGTATTGGTTTTGGTTTAATGCAGTGATGTAAATGAAACACTGTACAGAAAGGCTCACTTGCTTGCTCGCTCGCTAAGACAATGAGATATTGCCTTTAGTCTTTCACAGATTGCCCGAAACACTAACAAAGTCATTGTTTGTTGACAGCAATATATATAACAAAGCTAACTATAGGCTGACCTCGTCGTCCGTTGCGGTAACAAGATACAAGGTTTATATGTTAATACTAATGAAATGAAAGGAAGTGTAAGGTGCATGTAACAGTTGGGTCAACTTTCTCATATTTGCTCTATTTAGATGAAACTACGTTTATATACTTTTTCACTTCAAAGCAATTAATTATTTGATTATCAGGAATTATCAGGAATAAAGGTAATAGCGAGGTGCAGTATCTCAGATCAAAGGCTAGCTGTCATTGAAAGACGTGTGAAGCTGATGGTTTCATTTACATTTACTCTACTATTCCTACATATAGATGCGGCTTGGCGCCTGCTGTTAAGAAATGCAATCTAATACGATTCCTAGTATATAGTTTCTACATCTACAATGTTATGTTTAACGAGTCCGAGGAGACAGGTGTCCGCCTGAATGGAACACTCAGTGTCATTGATATTGGATTGCTGCTGTTCTGGTTATCACAATTCTGTTCAACATTGTTTTCGTCAAATGACATTTAACTGGTTTTATAATGCAGATATATGGTAATATGTATGGTTAATGTGGCCCATTCAGCGTCTGTAGTTGTGGAGGCTTGGCTGGAAGTATGTGTAGGTTCCCAAGCACCGAACTGTTACAAGAGCTGACTCAATTAGGGATCGGATAGACGTGACCTGTTTGTGGCAGGGTTGACCAAGTTTCATTTACAGTGACTGCTAGTGATGGTGATGATGGGATCGCATCAACTGATGATGTCTGTTGTGTACCATGCACGTATTTATAACTAGGTTGAATCGTCACACAAAGAACAAAAAGAACGAAAAATATCCAGTTTAGTTTGGTGAACAGTGAGTTTCCAATCTGGCCAAGACTTGATTAGCCAAGAAGGCAGTTACGACGTAAATTGTAATAAAAACGCAAATTGTAATACTTGCAGCAAATTGTAATAAACTTGACGTAAATTGTAATAAAAACGTAAATTGTAATAAAAAACTGACGTAAGTTCTAATACGCAAATTGTTATAAAAATTGACGTAAATTGTAATAATATTAGTTGCAAATTGTAATAACAGTTTTAATCACTCGTAAATACGCGTGTGTTTGTTTTACGTTGCATTTCATACATCATATAAGCTTGTTAGGGCGATAACTCAAGAAAGAAATGATGGATTTTGTTCAAATTTGGTACCAAGATATATATTGGCGAGATTCACTGACACCAGTTAAATTGTGTGACCTTGAGATATTTGCAAGGTCACAGCAAAAATCTGAGGGTTTTGCCGATATCAAAATTGTTAGCCCGATAACTCAAGAAAGAATTGACAAATCTTAGCTAAATGGCGAAAATGATATTCGTCCTGATACATAATCGATATAAAATCTCTAACTGTCCTCTGTATTATGTCTTTTCGCAAATATCTGTTGAGGTTTTGATATGTATACATATAAAGTGGGGGTGGGAGTGGGTGTGTTTCTAACGGGTATATCTAAAACCCTTACATGCATATAGTCAGCCTCACCTTGAATATGAAACAAATGCAGCTGTTTTTATGTTTTATTTTTCTACATATTATCTGTCAGCCTCAAGCAAATTGGTTTTGCTATGTTCCAGCCTCACGATCTCATTTTGTGTGACTTTGTATCATGGCTTACTCCCCAAAAACGTAAAATCGGCAATAAAATCCATCACAAACTTCAGGAAACAAAATATGCAAGAAACATTTTTGTATGTTTGAGATTGGTAGAAGTCCGCTAGAATCAAACTTAGATATCAAACTGCACAAAAATGCAATTTGAAACTACAATCGCTTGTTCAAATGACTGCCCCTTCTGTTTACTGAAAGAACTCGAGAAAGAAATGATGGCTTTTGTTCAAATTTGGTACCAATGTTTATTGACAAGATTTACCGACACCAGTTTAATTTAGTGATCTTGGGGTGATTTTAAAGGTCACAGCGAAGGTTTAACAGTTTTGCACATGCCAAGCTTGGTAGCCGCGAACTCAGGAAAGAATTAATAGATTCTGATCCAATTTTATATAAAGGTGTATTGGCAGGATTCCCCCAACACCAATTGATTGGGGAACTTGTGCTCATTTTAAGTTCACAGTGAAAATTGTTTTGCACATGTCTAACTTTTTAATGCAAAACCACATGTTTGCTTAAAAGTAGTACCAAGATGCGTTGGGAGTATCGTCCAACGCCAGTCGAATTCAGTGACCTTCGGATTATGTTCAAGGTCACAGCGAGTATTTTTGCGATATCTCCAAAACTAATGGATGGAATTTGTTCGCATTTTGTATCAAGGCATCAGATGACAGTTTCGGTAAAGATTACATAATATTCAGGGTCAGACAGAGGATTATTGCGACATTCAGATATCGACAAGTGGCGGGGGTAATAGCTCTGATTGTGACAAACGCTTTTTCATTAATAATTTTCAATGTTTTGTTAGCAAATGGTTTCTATAATTTCATGTTAATTCTACCAGCTGTGACATTATTCGTGACACGTCTTAAAGAAGCCAGAGTTTATTGTTGTATGTTTCGAATATTAAAGTTAATTATTTTTCATTATGGAGTTATTTTCGATGTTGACGCAAGGACATGTTTTACGAGCAATAGCTTTCAATAGTTTAATGTTATTTCTATTACAACTTGAAGAACTTCATATAGCATATCCAAAAATAACAGAATATTGTTTGTTTACGCTTTGAAATGTACGTTTATTCTTCTTCATTTTCGAATTATTTTCAATATTGGCGCAATGACATATTTGAAGTTAATCTTATGTTTTGATCATATGTGATTTATTATGATTTATGTTTCGATCATACATTCATATATTGCGTTGTCACAGTTTAACCTGGTTCGTATTACATCGTATCGTATTTTCTTCATCATATTACTACATTATTAATTTAGATTTATGAGAAGAATTTTTATGTTACATTTGAATCGCTGGCGTCTGTTTTTTTCTTGTCACGTAACAGCCAATCTGTCTACTCATTTGTTGTATTTGATTGATGCATTTAAAATAAAATGTAGAAATGCTATTGCATTGTATCATTTGCTTCAAGGAATCGATCATATGTGCTCGTTATCAAAATAAAGTCAAACTTCTTTCTGTTGGTTATACATTGTAAGCTGACACCTTAATTGTTATGGGTATACTAAAGAAATCATTTATTTAGTTTCACCGCTCCAAATACAACAAAGAAATCAACGGGTGACATTAACCTCAAAGAAAGATAATAACAATGCTTATAACCTACGAGGGCAAACATATCGGGGATAGTTTGTTTTCGTACGATATATACCAGGTAAAATATCACTTTGGCATGGTGACATGACATCATGAACAATGTTATGGCGTCACATTGCTTCTAAGAAGCCGCCTTCTAAATACAACGATGATGGGAAGCCTGCCTTTGTTAGAAAGTGGATTATCGCGTAATTTCCTAAATTAAAGACTTCGGTAATAAATAGAAGATTAAATTTGTGACAATATCATACTATGTTGACGACCTAAATATCGGCATATCCCTTCTCTGGTTCCGAAAATACCAAGATTTAGACAGTTGTGTTGTAAACATGATATGACAAGGGCGCTCAAATTTATCTTCTATAAAGTCGGCTATATTCCAACCATGAGAAATGTCGTCAAATAATGTCTGATAAAAGTTACCAACGTCCCAATACTGTCCACAGATTTTAGAAATCTATAACAAAAATGTACAACTTCACT